TGTGTTCATCTAAATGCACTCATATCATTTCTACACCATGTGATATTTGCCAATTTTCCAGACAAAAGAAACTCCCATTTCAACTTAGCACATCTATTTCAGATCAACCTTTTCAACTCATACACTGTGATGTATGGGGTCCTTTTTCCACCCCATCTCACTCAGGATTCAAATTCTTCCTTACAATTGTTGATGATTACAGTCGAGTTACTTGGATTTATCCACTGATTCATAAATCTGATACAAAATCTCATTTACTCCATTTCTATAACATGGTTGTCAATTAGTTTGATGCAAAAATCAAGACCATTAGATCAGATAATGGCACTGAATTCCTTTTACATGATTTCTTTTCACAACATGGCATTATACATCAAACTAGTTGTGTAGAAACACCACAACAAAATGGTAGAGTGGAAAGAAAACATCAACACCTATTACAAGTTGCTAGAGCAATAATGTTTCATGCTTATCTTCCTCTATCTTTTTGGATTGACTGCATTAGAGCTGCAGCTCACATCATAAACAGAGTACCATCATCTGTTTTACATGGAAAATCTGCTTTTGAAAAACTTTTCAATAAAAAGCCCACATATGATCATTTGAAAGTTATTGGCTGTCTTTGCTATGCATCAACATTGTCTGCTCATAGATCAAAATTTCAACCTAGAGCATCTAAATGCATCTTTCTTGGATATCCACTGGGTTGTAAAGGCTATCTCCTTTATAACTTGGACACCAAGAAAACATTAATATCCAGAAATGTCAAATTTTTTGAAGATGTATTTCCTTTCAAAACTCTTTCATCTTCCTCCTCTTCAAATCTATTCCCTGCAGCCCCAGATGATTTGTTTGACCATCATGCTATTACACAACATCAGCACACTGCCCCCACTTCAACACCTACCACTACATCCATATCTACTATATCTCCAACACCTGCCACCACATCTACTCCATCACCAACATCTGATACTCTACATGTTATACACACAACATCTCCTCCTACTCCTCCTACTTCTTCAGTCTCTGATATACAACTACCTATGAGAAGATCAAACAGAACCAGAAAGCCACCTGCATACTTGAATATCTATGACCATAATATAACCTCCACATCATCTAACTCTTCTGCTCCTACATCTTCAAATCTTGTACATTCTGGTACAACTCCATATCCCATATCTAATTACTTATCCACTGATCAACTTTCATCTTCTCATCATTGTTTCACTGCATCTCTGCATCAACACATAGAACCAAAAACTTATGCTCAGGCTGTTAAAAACCCTCTGTGGCAAGAAGCTATGCAAAAAGAACTTAATGCCCTTGAACAGACTAATACATGGGAACTCACAGCCCTGCCTCCAGGTAAGCATTGCATAGGATGCAAATGGGTGTTTAAAGTTAAATATAAATCTGATGGAACTGTGGAAAGATATAAAGCTAGATTGGTAGCTAAGGGCTACACACAGGAGGAAGGTGTAGACTATTTTGACACCTTCTCTCCTGTAGCTAAAATAACCACAGTCAGATTTCTTGTTTCATTAGCTTCTATAAAAAATTGGCATATTCACCAACTTGATGTGAATAATGCTTTTTTACATGGAGACTTGAATGAGGAAGTTTATATGACCCCACCCCCTGGCTATTGTAATGATTCTGATAAAAGAGTTTGCAAACTAATTAAAAGCCTCTATGGCCTTAAGCAAGCCTCAAGGCAATGGTTTCAAAAATTGACCTCTTGTTTGATTAAATATGGTTTTAAACAGTCTTTAGCTGACAGCTCCCTATTTACCATGTCTTCAGATTCCAATTATGTTGCACTCTTAGTTTATGTAGATGATGTGATCATTTGTGGTGATAACTTATCTGTCATTACTGCTATTAAAAATCATCTCCATGCTTGTTTCACCATTAAAGATCTTGGTCAGCTTAAATACATCTTAGGTCTTGAATTTGCCCATTCTGCAAGTGGTATTAATATGTGTCAAAGAAAATATGCTCTTGATATCTTACATGACACTGGTTTTCTAGGTTGCAAACCTGTTAATACTCCTATGGATCCTGTTAATAAACTGAGAACTTGCACTGATTCCGATGTTTTAACTGAACCAACTGAATATAGAAGATTGATTGGCAGACTTTTATATTTAACTATTTCAAGACCTGATATTGCTTATAGTGTTCAAGTTTTAAGTCAATTTTTGAGCAAACCTACTACTACACATCTATCAGCTGCTCACAGGGTACTAAGGTATATTAAAGGTACTACAGGCCAAGGTATTCTATTTCCCAAATCTTCTTCTTTACAACTTATTGCTTATTCAGATAGTGATTGGGCTGGTTGCCCAGATTCAAGAAGAAGTATCACTGGCTTTACTATTTTTCTTGGTTCCTCTCTTATTTCTTGGAAATCTAAAAAGCAGCCTACTGTTAGTAGGTCTTCTGCTGAAGCAGAATATAGAGCTCTTGCCTCTACTGCTTGTGAATTGCAATGGCTTTTATATTTGTTTGATGACTTTCAAATTCCACACTCATCTCCTGCTGTTGTCTATACAGATTCCAAATCTGCAATGGCAATGGCAGCAAATCCAGTATTCCATGAAAGATCCAAGCACATAGAGCTTGACTGCCACCTCATAAGGGAAAAAATTGCAGCTGGTTCCATCTCTTTGCAGTACATCAACACAAAGGACCAAATTGCAGATGCCTTGACCAAACCACTGCCAGGCCCTCTGTTCACATCCCTCATTTCCAAGTTGAATCTGCATAACATCCACATTCAACTTGCGGGGGGATAATAATATTACATGTTCATTTACATTTTTATCCTTCAGCATGTTTTAGGCATAAGAGTTGTCATTTGTAATCTAGCACCTTTAGTTATATCATGATAGTATAAATAGGGACTAACCCTATTCTTGTAACCCTAGTTTTATTTTTCGTCTCTCAGAACACAAACAACTGTTCATCTTCCTTCTCTTTCTCTCTGTAAAACTCGTGTAAATCTTTCCTCCATTGATGTTATTAAGTATCAATGCTCTCCGTAAGCATGAGGGAATTTCTTGTGAAAGAAAGTATTCCTTCTTGTGAGGCTCAATAATAATAGAGAAAAATAGTTGGTAACATGTCTTATTTAGGCCTTTAGAAACGCGGTTTGAGTTTGTTGACGTGATTCGTGTGTTATATATTGCACGTACAATGAGCTTTTTATTTATTCAGTGGGCACCACATATTATATATATATTTAAGGATGACTCACATTTTTTTTTTTT